GACATTTGATGCTCATGGCATGTTCCTATATATAAGAGACACTTAAAAGTTATCTCTATTTTTTGTGTTGATTTTCTATTTTAACCATATTTATTGTCTCCAACTCACACTCTCTATTTCTCCCACTTCTCTCTCTTTTAATAATTTAATTGTTCTCTCTCATCTCTCTCTCCTTATTAATGAGGGCATTTTTGTAAAAAAAAATTATACTTTTCACACATTGATTGTTCTTAACTAATTTTAACCGTTTTTTTATCAACGTAATTCGATTATTCGTCTCTTATAATAAGGAACGGAGGGAGTAGTTAATATGATTTTTTTTTTCAAAACACCTCAAGTATCTTCCTTAATTCCCTCCCTCCCTCTCATACTTAATTATTGTTGGGAAAATATAGTAAGATTAATTTAGAAAAAAAATTAATAAATATATGAAATAGGTCTTACATATAGGACTAATATTAACTTTACAATTAGATCCTGCATTAAGGAGTACTAATCATAACCATTAATGTCTAATCAAGTCTATTAATCTCGATTACCTTATTTATTGTAATTATCTAGGCCCTTTTACACCACTTTGGAGTTTTGACATTGGTGTGTGGAGGGGCGAAGGGTTGTTTGTGTACGTTTGTCCTATTACCCTTCAGGATCCCTCAAAAAGCCAGCTTCAGTTTCAGCACCATGTATCTAAAGCCTGTTTTGTGGGCCCCCGTTTTCCATGCCGGTCCCACCTTCATGGGCCCAGCCCAGATTTCACATGCCCGCGCAGCAGCTTTATATGGGGTTTGAAATCAAAGAACAAAAAATATACCCCACACAACCGACAACAACCGACAACTTAGATTTAGTAGAAGGAAATAGTCACAGTCAACAGTATCTCGAATAGGATTATCTCTAATAAAATGATGTCTATACTTTAGCCAAATATATATACACAAAAAAAAAAAATTCCTGGAAGTGCTAGTTTCGATGTGTATCACGAGATAAATTTTGCATGGTTCACAGTTTATTTCACTTTATTTATTCTGAATAATTGTGTTTAAATATATAAATTTAAAACAAAAAATATTTTACAACGGTTACTTCTAAAAATGTTATCAATCCTGTAATAAGTATCAGATAAGAACATCTCATTACACTACGCATCTTTTTCCAATAATGTTTTCTTAAGATAAACAGGTCAACTACATAAAAATAACAGAATTATACAACTAAGGACAGCATTATAGAGTTTAGGGAATGAGAAATGAGTAAAACATCAGTTTTGTAAAGAGTCACCAGAAAAAAGATTGAACCACCTCCATTTCGTACAATAATAATTGGTAATTAGATTGAGTCATAAATGACACAATATCATTTAAGCAAAAAATTTGAGTTTGACCTTAATTGGAAAAAAATACATGGCAAAAGGGTTTTTTTTTTCTTTCTTACACACTAGAACTCAACCTGGTTGTAGCAAATAATCCAATGATTTGTTTTAAAAAAAATTATTGACATAGATGCACAGGTTTATGAAAATTCCAATAACAATTAAATATATACTATCTCTGGTTCTTAATATAATAGTTAGTTTGATTTTTAAATTAGTTCAAAATATAATACCCAGTTCATTTTGTTTTTCATATTTATTCATTTTTTTCAAAGTGATCTTTGTAGTAGTTATACATGTTAAAAGTTTTATCAAATGATAGTTATGGCTAATACACATGATTAGCAAAAATACTTTAAAAAAATAATATTAATTTATTACAAATAATTAACTTAATAAATTTATTTAATCTACTCAAATTAATTAATTAATTTTTATAATAAGAACAGGAAGTAGCATTCAGCAATTGGCCCGCTCCAGTCTCCATTCGCCAAGCTTGGGAGGGCTACGAATACAATATTTGAAAATGGGAGGGGTCATTGGGCAAGGGTTGGGATAAAAGAAGCGGGAAAACTGGGAGCGCGAACAAAAGAGCAAAAATGAGTGCGGTGGATCTATGGAAAAGACAGGCGGCAGAGCAAGAGGGTGTTGGAGATGAACAATTGGGAACATAATGTGATCTTACCCTTTTTATAGTTAATATATGATATAATTATTGAATTGATTTATTTTAAATATAAGACACATTTCTTATATTTATTAATTTTGTTTTAAATTATCCCTATAGATACTTTCTCAATCATAATCAAATAAAAAAGAAAAGGAGGATATTAAGTAAAATTATTATGGTATTTTAAGAAAAACATATCATAATTTTATTTTTTATAATTAACTAATTTATCTAACTTTCTTAATCTAATCAAATTAGTTAAATAAATTTTATATTAAAGATCGGAGGAGTACAACTCAATCACCTGACCAAGGTTAGCCACCGGTACCTATTACTCAACATCACTGACGTGCTCGGTTGGCCCTATGCCATCTTTTCTTCAAAAAATATTTTTTAAAAGTATTTTTTATAAATTGAGATAAATTTTTTATATATTTATTTTGTATACTGTAAAATTATTTTTAAAATTATGGTTTGATTTTCATTCAAACACTCTCTCAATCAATTCTATTTAGCTTTTTTTAAAAAAAAATATAAAAGTCATTTGACTAACTTAAATAGATTCAAAAAATATTAATTCCATTTTTAATATTTGAGACTTGATGTTATTTTGATTTTGATCCTGTAACAATCTGAAATTGGTCGTTTTGGTCTTTAAAATTTGACCTCAATTTGATCAACCTACAATTTTTACATTGTATCCACATCTCTTCTGTAACTATTTTATTTAAAAAATGCATTTTAACTCAATATTTTTCTAACACTATAAAAATGTCTATGGCTCAGGTGCAAAATAATTTGTTCTAAATTTTATATTTCACACCAGGTTGTTAACAATTCTATTATATTTTTTTTATAGTATAATCTAATTATCCTGTCTATTTTGAAAATTTTTAAAATATGATAATTTTTTGTTCAAAATTATGTTTTGATTCATCCTACAATATAATTTGTTTTAAATTTTTATAGCGGATATAATTTGGAGATTACAGGTTTGAGAGTATTTGATTTAACTTATTTTAAATAATTTTTTGGGTGATGTTTGTTTTTTTTTTGTTACAAGGGTGATGAGTTAAATAATGGGAAAAAATTTATATTTTAAAGAGAAAAAAAAGTAATTTTGGAAGTGGACCCAAACCCGAACCCCAATCCGAACCCGAATCCGAACAGGTGAGAATTGAATATGAAATCACGAAAATGTGAAGAAAATGGGAGAGATCTAAACACTTTAAACACACTTTAAACATCATGTCCTGAAAGATTTTTCATTACAATATTTAATAATACCATGTAAAATTAGTTTCTTACTTGTTGATGTGAGAAAATAATCCAGACGACAACAAAAATGAGAGGGAAGGGACAAAGAAAGGAGAAAGGCAGGTTTCCGCAACAAGAGGAAAAGCGATCAGTCACATCTCAGAGTCAGAGTCAGATCACAATATTCAATTTGGTGTGTTTGCTCCATTTGATGTGACCCCTAACTCCAACGTGTCCCTTCCCCATTTCAAAGGCTTCGATTCCTCCCTGTTGCCTCCGCCCCGCCTCCGATCCTTTCCCTCCAAAATTTTCGTCCCATTTCGCGCCATCCCAATTCCCTCCCCCGCGTCATCCTTTTTCTTTCCCACATAAAATGAATTATTCTTCAATTATATTTTTTTTTGGCCAGCTATTCTTCAATTATATAAATAATATGTTTTCTTATCAATCTTATATTATATAAAAAATATAAATATAATCACTATGCACATGACATCTTTTGCAGGAGCATGCTCTTTACCCATGATTAGTACAGATTTGGTCGTATCCTTAACCATAAATAATTCTCCTCTAATTTTAAACATAGAAGCTAGCAAGAAAAAAGATAATTTTGACATGAAATATAATTTTTTTATAAGAAATTTAAAATTTTAATTCATTTTATTTTTCAGATTTATCTTTTTTAATGATTAGTTTATCTAACTGACAAACAAATGAATATATAATCTAGTGTCACATATAATATTTTTAGGAGATAATGTTATCCTTGTTAAAATTAATTAATTTACTTAATTTTATTAATTTATCCAAATTAATTAAATATCTCTTACCTTCAACACTGAAGTAGTATTTTTCCCTACAAAATTTGAATCCAAAGTTTCACTTAGAAAGAACAAGTGTTAAACCAATTCTAATTACTGCTGCTGTTAGTTTTTTTTTTTGGTTGCGCTGCTGCTGTTAGTTACCTCGCTGTTTCTCAACGTAACAGAGGAGATGCGTCAACCATTTAAGGACATTACTTAAAAAAAAAAAAAAAACTCATTGGAAGATTTTCTACTGTTCCACCATAAAAAAATTTTAAAAAAAAATCTGTCAGGATTCATTAAAAATGTCTTCAATGAAAAAACTTCCACCGTGAATCCTCCTAGGTCAATGGTAAATTGGTAATAATTGAAACATTATTACAAAAGTCCCAGCGAAAAACTCACTAGATTTTGTACTGTCATTATATTAATATATTATATTGGTAAATAATTGTCCAAAGAATACAGCGGATCACAAAAATCACTGGACCAGGGTGTTCCACCAATCAACGGATGATCCCATCATTGAGTGATGGGTCAATACAAACTTTCTATTTTTAATTTACTCTCACCGTGATTTTTATTTTTTGAATTTAAAATTATAAATTTTAATTTTTTTAATTTTTTATTTAAAATATTAGTCTTTATAATTTAATAAAAATTTAAACCATTTTGCTTTTTAAAAATCAAGACATATATTTGAAATTGAGAAATTAGAATCAAAATGAGAATAAATTTAAAAAATAAAAATTACATTAACAGTGATTGCCTTTTTTCATTTTAGTTAAAAAAGGAAAAATTATCAGAAGCACTGTAGCCTTTTGTTTTATCTATCTTTGACAAATGACAACAGATGAATCTCCCATATGTTTCGGATGCTTGATGATCTTAACCACAGGCGCTAAACTGCCTGTACATTCGGTGCAGAGGATCGCAGCCGCTTCCTCCGCCGCTGGTCGGTTTGGGTAGTGGCGGCGGAGCCTGCGTTCTCAGAACGGGTGTCGGAGCCCGCATGAGCGGCGGCGGCGGCGGCGTCGAGCACACCTGCTGGACTTGAAGGAGGAGCCGCCTCGTTCCCGCGACACGTGTCATCCACGTACGTCTCCATTAGTCGATGACAGCTTCTCATCATTTCCTGTTCTCCAAACAAAAAGATCACATCCTTTATTATTTCAAAAAAAAAAATCCAAAACAAACAAACATTTTGTTTTGTTACTGTAAAACCCTCTTTTAGAATGAATGAATGATCCCCTTTCCACTTTTCGGGAGCAATAATTAATAATCAATACTATATTATCGATTTCATTCTGAGAGATCAGAACTACCCAGTAAAACATGTGCCGTACTAGCAATTAGTATAGCGTACTTTGTTCATGCTGTCATGAAAACACGGCAGTGATTGGGGGTAGACGTCAGAGGCTACGCCGGCCGAACAGAGCACGGCGGCGGCGGCAATACTTGACGGTGCGAATCTCAAGAAATCGAGCACTGCAATCGAACCCATAAATTTGAAGAAAAATCATTAATTCAATGGAAAAAAACGAATAATCACACTGAACGTAGCGAAATGATCAGGCCAAGCTTCAAAGATTGTACCGCGGGTGGTGGTAAGAATGAACTGGGAGGCTCTGAACAACCGGGTCGCCGATCCGGGTTTAGGATCGGATGAGGACGCAGGGAGCTTGGAGAAGAAGTAATGGAGGTAATCGAAGGGCGTGACAGATCGCAATCTCCAGTTGAGTTGGGACATGATCCAGAGCTCCATCCTCTGAACCGACTTGGATTCAAAAACGAAGCCGGGATCGAATATTTGCAGGTCTAGCAAGTTCGGGATTCGACGTTCCTCCATTTTCGCCGCAAGAGACAAGCACGCCACTGATAATAGCTGAAACGGCCACCCAGCTGGCTGCGGCCAGGTTCAGCCCAAGGAGATATACAATTATTATTTATTAAAACAATTTTAAAAGAACTAAAATAAAGAATTGTCAGAAACTTCTCCCAGAAAATCAGTTAGTTCCTCTTCGGTATAATCTGGCCGTACTGTACCGGAAGAGAAGAGCACGAGAGGAAACGGTCGAAGTAGTTGACGGAGAGTAACGCCGTCACCGGACGAAACTGGTAATGGGCGTGCACCTGCGTTGCGCAGAGATGAAGAAAGTCAGAAACCAATTTCGAAACCAAAAAACAGAAAATGTTTCTTCGACGAAAGTGCGAGAGTACTCCTCGCTACCTTGAAGATCCAGTTAGTGGACTTCTGGCGATTGGTGAAGTCGATCGGACAATTACGGAGGCGATTCAGGTAATCTTGGCTCGGCATCAGGTGTGACTCTACGTCGATGAGTTCGCCGATGGTGATCTCCTCGGACGGCGGAGAATAGAGGGGGAGGTAAGATGATGGTGATGGAGGGTGGCGGGAGATCGACACATCTTCACCGCAGCACAACACGTCGGCGGCGTCCTCGCGGCAGAACAAATAACCGGCGGCAGAGTACTCCGATGAAAGAGACATTGCGGTGAAGGAGGAATAGGTGCGAGAGAAGCAGTGTGGCCTGGCAGTTTGGTCATGGCTTAGCCCTTAGGGGTTTGGGTTTGCCATCTCTGTGTCTCCTCCACGTTTCTCTCTCTCCCTAAAAGGTTTTGTACTTTTGTGGGTATTGATGAGCTCTCTCTTTTGTCCTTTCCTCTCTGTGCATTTACAGATAAACTCACAGAAGAGAAGAAGAGGAGAGAGAGTATGTCATCATTTTGCTTCATAAAAACATGCACTAACAATACAAAATTGATTATTTTACGTCATTAGGGCATGTTTGGATAACATAGAAAATTATGGTTTTGGATCCAAATTATGGTTTGGGTCCCAGACTTGTCAAACATCCAGGAACAAACAGAAACTATAATTTTGGATCAAAATCATGGTTTGGAGTTCAAAACCATGGTTTTAGAAGAAGTGAATCCATTATGCTTCTAACTCAAATAGGAGAGTATGATTGTGCCTGTAGAGTAGATCTCAACGATAATATGATTTTAACATTCCTCAATTATTTTTTTATAAACATATTTAATCTTATATTTTATAAATATATATACATATTAATTATATTTTTATATATAATTATGTTGGTAAAAAAATATATTATTAACAATTTTATTTTTTAAATTAAAATATATTATAAAATCTATCTTTTATGTAATTATCATATTAACTTATTTTTTTAATAAAATTTGTACATATAAAAAGTTCTTCTGATAACAACTATCTAAATACTCTCATTTATCAGAATCACTTTTTCATAAAATCTATTCTTCACAAAATCTATTTTTTCCAGAATCTATTCTCCAAACCATGATTTAGTTTCATCCAAACACCCCTAAATGACTATGAGCAAAGGCCGTGTTAATAGCACAATTGTGACCTTGCTGCCAAAAAAAAAACACAAAATTGTGACCAAAAAAATATCCGGTTGGAAAATAATTTATTTATAAATTTCTTCCAACTTATAAAGAGAACGTTTCATGTCACAAAATTATGATGAGCGAGGTCTTTATTGAATGTAAGTTATAAGAAGTCATGCTGGTCGAAAAAAAAGTTATAAGAAGTCAGGTCTCTGTAAAATGTTAATGAATAAGACAAAAATATACTGCCTCTTGTTTTAATTATAAAACTTTGTTTATAGATTACAAACAAAATCTTATAATTAAGACCGGAAGTAATATTTTATTTGAAAATAATACTAAATTATTTATATTTTTTAAAATTTATTAGAGAAATAAGCACTTGCTTCTTATCGTTACGAGTGGGATTAAATCTTCGGCTTGGCGTGAGTTTTCAAGCCTCGAATTACGTCATTATATTAGCTTATTTATAGATATTTCATTTTTGTTTTTTTTATTTTTTTCCTCTTTTTTTGGGTGAACTTATTTAACTTGCTTTTTTTTTTTCTTTTTGGGTTTACAAGGCAGTTTGACTTTCTAAGGGAGTATTTGGATAAAGATCAGATCATGATTTCATAAGTAATCTTATGATATACAAAATAAATATGTGAAAAAGTTTATTTTAATTTACAGAAAAATGCTTTTAAAAGTACTTCTCCTAATCTCCAAACACCCCTTAAATGAATTTTCCTTATTTTACTTTTTATGTTTAAATGAATAGTACATTACTTCATCAATCATGCTTAAATTTTTAAATTAGCAAAAGCGCGCCTCCATGATAGTCATGCAGAGCATGAAAGGAGCTGTGTTGTTGTCAAGTTATTATATATATGTATATGTATATGTACATGTATATATTAGAATAATGCGACTTTTTACCAGTTATAAATTTTTTCGATTAATAGTGATTTCTCAGTTCTGAAATTTACCAAAATAAATTTTACTGGTTATTTTTGCCTAGGAGTATCCCATATCATTAAGGGCCTGTTTGGATGCTCTAAAACCGTGATTTCAGAAGCACTTTTCCGCAAAACGAAATAACCTCCTCCACATATTTACTTCGTAATCCGTAAAAGCACTTTTGAAACAATGGTTTGGTTTTTATCCAAACACTCTCTAAGGTTACTGCCTCTATTAGCTGTTTTTTTTTTCCTGAAAAAAAATGGTAAAGCAAGATCTAAATTAATTAAAGCAAAGAGACATGTATACAGAAGCTATAAGGTCACAGATAATTAATAAACAGCTATAATCAATTAATCATGCTATTCTAATACAGATTAGAGTCGGATCCTTACTATTAATTTAGCTAGATTTTTTTTTTCGCCAACTAATTTAGCTAGATTAAAAACAATATATGTAACAGTGAAAAGTGTATGGATGTATGTGTATTAGTTTTTTTTTTTCCTTTTGCATGTCAATAAACTCTTCACTATAAAAACACTCTTCTAGTCTTATTTATGAGGCATTCTTAATATGTTTCACACAAATTAAGGAAAATCACAAACTGTATTGACTATTCATTAAAATATAACAACTTTTTAACTTTATCCCTATTTAATATATATGTCTTTCAAAAAAAAATAATTATTTACACTACAATAAATAAATGACAAAATAGTAAATTCGTGCTAAAAATTTAAAGAAATAACTAATACATAGAATTAAGAAAAATCTCTTCTTCCTATCTTATAAATTGGATCAGAGGAGTGATATGTAAATTATTATTTTTCTGGGATATTGCATGAGGAAAAATAATTAGTTATGTTATGGAACAAGTTAATCTTAACTGACTTCTAATAATCACTCTGTCGTTTGCGCTGGGCTCATGTATCACTGCCTTCTGGATTATCACAGAGAACATGACAATCATTATAAAAAGCTTAAGATATTTAAAAAAAACAAAAAAGAATAAAAAATACACTAGTTGAACTTTCTTTGTTTGAACTTACGAATTTTGTGGATACAAGTTCAGTTCTCAATATGAGTTTTTTTTAAATTGTCTGTTAAATTAATATTCTGCTCTAGTTCTATTTATAAAACAAATAAAATATATTGTTATCCAATTTATAAGTCATATTATTAAATTTCACATATAAATATGGGAAAATGACATAAAAAAGAAGTTGGGAATTGCTATTTTCTAATTCAAATATCTAAGAGGTCAAAATCTCAAAAAATGAAGTGATGCCTCATTTTGCATTTTACAAATGTAGTTAAATGATGAAATTGCCCTTGTATCAAAAAATTGATTAACAAGTTATGAATTGGCAATGATAAGTGTTACACAACAAATGACAAGAAATATACTGATAATGACAAGTTATTTATTAATAAGTTGTGAATTGTCAGTAGTAAGTGTTGAACAATTAATAATAAGAAATATACGAGCAATGATAAATTTGATAACTTTAAAAAAATTCTAGTACACGGGCGTTTTAGTCATTTACTTACATTTGCAAAATAATATATTAAGCACCACTTCTTCTAAGATTTTAACTTCTTAGGTGTCTGAATTGAAATATTATAATTTCTAACTTCTTTTTATGTCATTTTTTTCCCTAAATGTAGTACACCCCCTTATTTATTATTCATCGGAAGTTTTTTTTTATTTTTTAATTTTTGCCACCACAAGAGGGACAAGGCATTAACTGATTAAAGTTATGTAAAATATTGAATATATACTACCTCCGATCTTTAATATAAGAGTTGATTGACTAATTTAAGTAGATTAAAAAAGTTTGTTAAGTTAGTTATTTGTAATAAATAAGTATTATCTTTCATAGAATATCATTGTTAATCATGTATATTAACTATAACTACGATTTGATAAAATTTTTAGCACATACAACTACTACAAAGATCCCTTTGAAAAAAATAGATAAATATGGAAAACAAAATGAATTAGAGTTTTATATTTATGACTAAATTGAAAGTCAAACTAATTTTTATATCAAGGATAAGAGGTAATACTAAACAAGAATAAAACCAAAAAGTTATTAGATTTTAAAATAAAATTAATAAAATTAAAGATTTTCTTCGTTCTAATTCTTCATTCAAATCTCTTATGAATAGGATGGATGAGTGAATGCATCCATTGATCATTAATTCAAAAACGGGACTCATGATGTGAACGAGATGTATCAACATCAGGCAGTAGGTTGTTGGAATGTGAAACAGCGAAAAATGCAAGCTTTTGCAAAATTGATTGGATTTTTTTTTTTTTGGGGCCATTGACTGACTTTTTTTTTTTTTTGACCAAGAGGGCCATTGACTGACTTTACACACAAAGTGTAACGCCCTCTTTAATTATATGTAGGTGGGAATTAAGTAACATGAATTGTTACCCCTGGGGCCCAAAATTCATAGGCAAAAAGTCGAGGATTTTTCTAGACACGTAGAGAACACCAAGTTAAAGCTTATTAGGCTTAAAACATATATTTAGACTTAAAAAACACTTAAATGGGTATTTACAAATTATCTACCAACAAGATTTTCACATCAGCAGTAGGATTCGAACTCGCCCACAAAAAAGATTCTTACATCTATTATGGAATTCGAACTCATGACTTTATGAGTAATGAATCGGATCCTTACTAACTGAACTAACCCTTATTGATTATTGGACCTATATTATAAGGTTATAAGAAGTAGGGGAAAAGCATTTTGTGTGAATGCCAAAAAAATGTTTTGACTAAAATATGTATTTGGTCATTTAATTTTATATAATGTTTCAATTTATTATCTTAACTTTAAAAAGTAAACATTTGATCCTTTAAACCTAAAATTATTTGGCTTTAATGATATTTTTTGTAATAATCATGGATATTTTGAAAATTAAACTTAATATGTTAGCATTTAAGTATATTTTATCAATATTTAAAATCTTAATCTCATTATTTTTAAAAAAATATTGAGGTTAAAGGACTAAAAATATACTTTTTAAAGTTAAGAGACCAAATTAAAACATTGTATAAAGCTAAAGCACCAAATATATACTTTAACCAAATTTTTTTTAGAGAATTATTCTAATTGGGCCTAATAATACATGAATTTGTTTTAGTGAAATAGTCATATTTAGGGGGGGGGTGCACATAAAAAAAACAGTAAAAAAGTCTAAAAGAGTGATTTCAAACC